AATCCAGCAGAGTGCTCAAGTGTATTGTGATTGGTTCATTGTCTTGTCGCTATTTTAAGTGACTCTGTGACCGTGAACCTGAGGGAGGTGAACGTGACATACTTAAGTCGCCGTCCTATGAATTGTGCTTTTGAACGGTTTTGTAGTGGAGTGGTGAAAGGTATTACTTGAGTGTTCCGTTCTAATGCAGGGTGAAGGAAATTGACGTTTAGCTAACAGATTTAGTTCTAGAAGTCAAAGCTACAAGTAAAAAGAATGAAAATAAAAGCTCAAGGTCTTCCTTCACCAACCCAAAGATCCTAATATACACCATCCCATTAACTCTGCCCTTGATGATCTCCAGCCTAAGATAGCTTAATTGTGCATCGCCACTTTTTAGACCCACGAGCCGCCCCCGACTAGAATCTAGATCTAGATCTAGATCTAGCAGCCATCGTTTCTAAATGATAATATTGTAGTCCTGCCTGAATTGTGGAAGCTTTCTCATTTTCTTGATATAAACCCCCAAGGGTTTGACTCCTTTTTTATGACGTTGTCTATTCCGACCAGTATGAGGTAGATCTAGGTCTAGATCCAGATTAGATCACAAATTGAGTCTGACATTGTTTGTGCAAAAGTAGACTAGACGTAGTCTTGTTCATCTCTCATAATCCCAATCATTTGAGTTTTGAGTTTGAGCTAGTAAGTCAAAAGACGCTTGGATAACAATAACAAGACGTTGCAATTCGGTATAAGCAGTATTTCCTGTCCGCAGTGTCGTCATACAATAGATTCTAGATCTACATAAAAATATTATTATATTAATTAAGTTAGGCCTTGAGTGCTTGAGAACGTATACAAGCTTTCTACGTTCGCTAGGCCTAAGTCTAATGTTCGGTGCTTCCAAGCGCGGCATCAAATCCCGGTCCCGGAAGTGTTTTTTTTTCCTCTCATGAGCTAAAATTTAAAAATAAATATAATAATTAGAGTCACAGACCAAGGAAAGCCACTGTTGAACTTTAACCTGGCCTAAATTGGTAAAAGGAAAAGTATAGGCTATACTAAGGCCTACTTTGTACAGAGCTCCTCTTGGGGACAAAACCAGAATGTGCATGCTTCATCACTGGATCTAGATCTAGATCTAGTTCTACATTATTTAAAAAAACTAGCCTACAAAG